TGAGCGTGCACTTCCAGAGAGCTAACATCAGCCATGCTGGACGGATCATCGCCGGGGGAGAGTGGTCAGCGTGATGACGACGACTGTGCTGGGCTCACCAAGCGGGAACTTTTTGACGCTTTGCGCGAGAAAGACCGCTTGTTGGCGGACCTGCTGCGGCGGCTGCCTCAGCCGGAGTCGTCGGGGGCTCCACACCAGGCGGCCATCAACACGTTTCAGGTGATGCCCGATTTGAGCAGAAATATTCCAGACTTTTCCGGTGATGGTTGCGCGTCAGCAGCCCGGGAGTGGATGGAAAGTTTGCGCCAGACGGCTACGCTTCACCGGTGGCCAACGCCATTCCTGCTCGAAACTGCCAAGTGTCACCTGGTCGGCGCCGCAAAAGATTGGTATCGTTCGAGAGCTGCCGAAATTTCATCGTGGGACGATTTCGAGCGGATGTTCGGGCGGACTTTCTACAGCCAGACACGGGCGGCGGAGCGATGGAGGCGTATGCAAGAGCGAATGCAGCAGCGAAATGAGAACACGGCTGCGTACTTCCACGAGAAGGTGCGCCTTTGCAGAGAGGCGCACTTAGATTTCTGTGATACGAGGGAGCAGGTGCTGACCGGTCTCCGATCGCGGGAGTTATGCACGATGCTTCTGGGAAGGTCGCACGAAGACGCGGATGACCTGTTGCACGACATTCAGGAATTTGAGAGGATCGACCGTGAGCGACGAGAACGCTTCGGGACAGCGGCTGAGCGAAGAGCGACGAGCGATGCACCTCGTATGCAACCTGCACCCAAGGCACCGCTGCAGGGTGCGTCAGGGTACGACAGGCGGGACCAGCGACCACCTATCACAAATCAGTACGGTGAGCGAAAATGTTATAATTGCTTCAAATTCGGACACATTTCACGGGATTGCCCAGAGGAAAGACGAATAGAAAAATGTCTAAAATGTGGGAAGACTGGGCATACCCAAAAACACTGCCAAGCGAAAGGCCCCAGAAATGAGACCAACGCTGTCTCTGGAGAGAAAATTGACCCTGGCGTGCGTTTGAAGCACGTTAAATGGAATGGCAATGAGACTTTGATTGGCATGATAGACACAGGCAGTTCCGGTTGCTTACTGCGCGAATCAGCGGCAGTGCGGTGCGGAGCGGAAATGCTGGAAGATGCTACAGCTCTGTATGGTTTCGGCAGCCAGGGCGTTCCAGCTGCTCGTGCGATTGGCAGATGCCGGGCCGACTTGCTGATAGATGGCGTCGTTGGCAAGAACATACAGATACTTGTTGTACCCGACGAGGCCCAGCCGGTCGATTTGCTTGTTGGTCGCACGTTTACCGAGCTGCCATATGTGACCTACGCTAAGCTGGGCGGCAGCTTGCAATTCTGGCATAGAGACGAGTGCCCATTCTCACATCTCGAACCCTTCGTTTCATGTCCGAAATTACGTTTGAAAACTGCTGAAGAGACCCCACTGCAGGCCAATGTTATAAATTGGGTGAGACTGTCATCGCAGTCTAACGTCACTGGTGCAGTGCTATTCAACAACTGTGGGTGCGAAATTCTTGTTGATATGGAGGACGGAGAGGTTACTGTGCCGGTGTTTGCGAGCGGAAATGATGACGTGGCTCTACGTAAAGGACAAAGACTTGGCCACGCGACAGAGGTGGACATCCCGGGTTGCGAGATGAAGGAAATAAATGAGTGCAGAGAGGAGTGCAGCGCGGCGAAGCCAGAGCAAATTCTGGTTACGGAGGCGCGACGGCCGATTGGGTGCGAAGGAATTAAAATGGGCCCCTCCGTAACAGAGGAGCAGCGTCGTGAGCTCGCGTGCCTCCTAAATGAGTACCGGGATTGTTTCTCCGCCAATCTCAGCGAACTTGGCTGCACATCTGCCATTTCGATGGACATACAGGAGATACCTGGTAGCGCACCCGTGGCTGTTCGGCCCTACCGCACGAATGCAGCAAAACGAGAGGCTATACATGACATCGTCGGAGAGCGGAAAAGAGAGGGAATAGGAACTGAGACACATTCCGAGTATGCGAGCCCAGTCATTACTACATCGATGGTCGATACAGAGCAGCGAGATTGGGACGAAAAGCTCAGTGAGGCAGAGTGCAGCTTGAACAACGCTGTAAACAAGACGACCGGGAAGACTCCCTTCGAGATGTTACATGGTTATCGACCGGAATTTCACAGCGTGGCACTGAAGCGCTTGGTTGAATCTAAAGCGTCAGAGTGGGAGGAGCCCGGCGGGCTGCGCGAACGTGTACGGCAGCGCCTCGTGAGCGAGCAGAAGAAGATGAAGGTCGCTTACGACAAACGCCACTTCCCGGCTAAAATGTACGGTGTCGGTGACGTGGTCTTCATGACGAGGGCTCCAGAACAGACGGGAAAGCCTGCCAAAGCCCAGCCAAAATATAGGGGCCCCCTTGTAATCACGGCAGTGTTGCCACCTGACACGTATCGAGTTGCCGACCTTGACGAAACAAGGGTGAGCCGCTTCGCGACCACTGCGCACGTGTCGCAGTTGAAGTGCTGGACAACGACCAATCCTCATTCACACCTTGATGACGACGGAGAGTCTGCGGAGGAGTCGGACGCCCCCGAATGTGAGGTGCAGCGACTGAGACGTTCGGCCCGTAGCTGCGCCAAGACCCATCCCTATGCGAGTGCGCCATAGTTGCGTTGGCGTCTGTGGAGAACTTCAGTGCGTGCCGGAATTTACCGAGTGAACTGTGCGTACTTAAACAGTTGCTTTTTTTTTTCTTGTCTTCTTCGACGAAGGAAACAATTCTGTTTGTGTATTGGCGTGTGGGTTTGTTTATGATTTTTTTTCCATTAACGAGGACGTTAATGACTGTCAGGACGACCGAGTGTACGCGACTGCCTCAAATCTTCTAAGTTTTGTTTTATTTCTTTTTTTTTGCGTGTGTTGTGCCGTGCGAGTGTCCGTTGGTCACTCGAGGGGGCCGTCCTCCTTGTTTACGGGCAGCAGCGATCGGCGAGCCTCCCAGACCTGCGGGCGCCGGGTCAGCACAAAGGCGGCGGCCCGCTTTAATGCACCTTGCCAGTTCGGGTGCAAGTAGAGGAAAACATGCTGCTTTGTGCATCCGTGGCCTGTGGGACGTTCGACTCTGTTTCCCCGAATGGCGAAGCGACGGACTTCCCCCACTGACTTCGTGGAACAATTTGTGCACGTGCGTGTGTGTGTGTGTGTGTGTGGTGCGTGCGTGTTTGTGTCAGCGTGCGCGTATGTGTGCTCGGATCTGTGGTCGAGAGGAGAAAACGAGAAAGCGCGGGAAGAGCCAGAGACGCAGCGAGAACGGCGAGCGAACAAGAGTCTGCGAATTGCGAGCGACTTGAGCGGTTGTGCGTTGTGCGATGTGCGGAATTGAACGGTTGCGCGAGTAATAATTGTAACCTAGTTTTTTAAATGAAATACAGCCTTCTTTTGTTTACATTTTCTTAACAGTGCGTACGTCGTGTGTTGTGTCTTCTATCAATTTTCACCTTTTTACGGCCATACCGGCGACACCCTAAATTTTACCAAAAGCGGGATAGAGGACGCTAACAAACTATAGCGTAGAAGTTCTCGCCTCTGTTCGTCTGCTGCTTGGATATTGCCGTCCGGTTTTTCTACGAAAGCTTACGGATTATGAGTTCGTGCCTATATTTTTGTTATCGCTCTCTCTCTCTCTCTCTCTCTCTCTCTCTCTCTTTCTCATTCTCCCTTATGTATTGCCTGAATATTTCTTCACCCACGAACTAGTCCTACCCTATTTTTGGTGCTGTATACCTGGAAAGCGCATTTGTATGAGGCATGCGGCCTTTGTTTTGGAGTGGAGATACCTAAGAACGATATACGGGACTCCAGCAATTGATGCGGCACCTAGCGGTAATATAGGAAAGCTGCGTACTGAGGTCCAAACAGTCCAAGTGCCAGTCGTATACGGTGGGAGCACGGTAGGATGGTGCCGCCCGTGAAGAAAAAACAAGCGACGAAGATTTCTTCTTCCCAGCTGGGGCACCAGTGTTAACTTGTTAACTCTAACCTATTAAATGACCATTGTATCCAGTGACTACATGTCGCTGCGATGCCAGAAGTATGTAAACAAATTTCGCAGAGACGCGGTGTGCCATGTGCATCACCGACGCGACGCGACCACTTCAAAAACGCCGCTCGCGTTCGCGGGACCACTGGTGCCGACTAGAATAGGATGCTCTGCGTCAACAACCCACTCTCCTTCTACAAACCAGCGCGAACTCTAATCACACTGCAGAAAACTAAATATTTGTGTTAGTGACAGCGGACGTGGTCATAGAGTTCCCTAAAATTAACAAGAGGGGACTCTGTCGCTGCGATCGTTCAGCGACCATGGGAATGATGGGTAGTACACACTTTGCCTAGTCTTCGTACTTGTGGGCGGCGAATCGTACTTGCGGCTTCATTTATTGCTGTGTTTCGGTGTTTTGAAAGAAATATTCAACCCTTTTGAACTTCGTGACCCAATTTTGAATGGTAAGTCTCAAAAAAAAATCAGATGGTGAAGCGCAACTGCTGAACATTTGCTTATTTTTGTTTCATGAAAAAACAGCTCCAAGCCACACGAACACACACGGAGCCAAAATCAGGCCAGAAGTACGAATATTAGACAAATGTGTGTACTACTCATCATTCTCATGCTCGCTGAAGCGCCTTGCGTTGCAGCTCCCATAGCCACTAGCGCCAGGGTTTCCCCTAGTGCATATTAGGAAACTCTATGGACGCGGTTACCTCCGCGTATCCGCCATGCTGCAACTCCACAGCGCCCTTTCATGTTCATTTGAGTTGTGAATAACACTTAAATAATCATTGAATCACTGTGACCACATTGGCAGCCTAGTTTAATACCATTTTTCTGCCTTTTAGAAGTATAACTTTGTCTTCTGAATACTTTAGCAAATGCAATAACTTAAATGTATTTTTGAAATATATATACTTAACCTTTTTCTGGGGTGGCTGTGGTGCGCGATGCCGGGGTGGCACCATATATACCTGAAAACGTAAACGAACGATTGCTGAAATGGGTGCTCAGTTTGTCTTGAATCTTTCTATGTGGCATTTAGAGGTAACAGACGTAGGCCTGTTCCCAAAACAGGTCGTTGTTTTCTCACAAACACAGTAAAGATCGTTATTTTCATTTTGCTGATGTCACCTGAATAAAAATTTCCTACGTACTGCAGTGTATAGAATGTGTTTTGTGCAATGAGACACGCCTTCCTAGTTTATTTAGTACGAAACACCTTTCTAGGCATACCTTGAGAGGCTACACTAGCTTCAAATGCCCGTCATCGCAGCTGTCATCTATAGAGGACACCGCTGAAGATTATTCATGGGTATAGTGGTCCGACGAGAGAAACATGCAGCTCTCATGCGACGCACGTGTTCTGGGAACGTAAAATGAATTGAGAAAGAGAGAGTGGCTGCTGTCAAAAAGGCAGGCTAAAAGATCGTTGAATTAGGCAATGCCTTTGCATATTTAGTAAGTACAAAGCATTCCCATATTTTTTTTACTTTAAGTATCTCTTCTTGTGCCAAAAATCCTTGTTGTGCACGGCAGACTTTGTTGTAGGTGTAGTTTAATGAAAATATTTGTTTTTCATAAAATGTTGATTTTTGCGCCATTAAAAATACGTATAAAACTGCTAGCTCCTCTGAACATGCACTACACACTGAAGCTTCATTAGGAAACCATCACGAATGTCGTGCGTTTGTCCCATGGAAGGTAGACAGAACAACTTATAGGAATTTCTCTGAATCATTGGAGGCGATTCAGTGCTTAGATACTGAGTTTCTTAGATGTTCAAGTACCCCACCCGTGCCGGATACAGTTCGATGTTCTTCCGTCTATTTTTACAATAAAAGCAGTTATGAGATCAAAACTCGGATCACGCACGGCGCCGTAGTTGTCAGCCGCCACCGCCGCCGCAGGTATCCGTAACGACTACCACAGAAATAAGGAAAAAAACTAATACCAAGGACAAAGTGGAACTCCTACCCAGATCCGCTGCGTGCCAGCCAAGCATTCTACTACTGAGCCACGCCGGTGCTTGGAGCTTGTCCACCTTAGACAGGCTTCATGTCGGGAAAGGAATCGCGTAATTTGAGTAATAAAATGTTTTAGAACAGCAAAGGAACAACCGGTCGTCACACAATGTGAATAGCGTAACGAGTGGCTCATTCAATGTTGCAACCCACTACAAAAGCTTGTTCAATCACCTATTAGCTGTGGTGCATACCCACTTCAGGCATAATTCCTCATCGTGGTCAGCCACTGCATGAGCAATTGACACAAAATTCCATGCAAATGTTTAGCGGATACCACGCTTCTCAGAATTACGAAGGATTTCATAGCGAATACCGGCGTAATACCCAAACATTATTATTACTATTATTACCGTAGTAGGTACTCAGAAAGTGTGTTTGCAGCAGTTACCCAATGAGTGTCAAGAAAAGGCTCTGAAAGGCCGCTCTTCTAGCTTTTGCTGTGACTTTGCTGCGTCTTCCGCGCAGGCCTGGCGTATTTTTCTTATCTTTTTTTTTTGTCTCTTGCATCTTCCGAAGCGTTTTTGCTATAGGAGACTTTGAAAGATTAGAGACACGCGGCGCACGCGGCGCTGTGGTCCACGACTTCATATCTCCGAAATATTCTGCGTCTTGGCACGACGCCAATCTGAATAAGGTGGGTAATTATGTACCGTGCGCATGATGAAATGTGTCAGTTCATTGGCGGGGGTATAATAAGAACACAGTTACCTCTAAAATTATATCAAGGAGGCAATTTGTTCTTGTGTATAGTGGAATCCACAAGCGAACCTTGTCAAAATTTCTAAATCTTTACGACTTGATTTGTTTTGAAAACCTCAACGTCACTGATTAAATAGTCCAAACTTACTCCATATCCACATTGCTTATTTGCAGAAAAAACTACAGAATTTCCCTGTGGGGAGCAACGACTTAAAGCTAAAGGCCTGACGAGGTCTCACCACCTATTAATCAAAAGAGTTCAACATCAGTGACATATACACTTACACACCATAACACAGAACTATCACATCGGTTACGTATTTCACACGTATTGGTAGAATATACTGGCATGCCATAATATATTTATTTTATATACTTGAAAATTCGAACTTTCCCTTCCAGTCTTGTTTCTGGAAAATACGAAACACGTAGCTCACTGCAGTGGTGAAAACGTTATTTGGACTTTTCAAACCGATCAACTATTTCACTGGTATTTCATATTTTTGTATGGTATATCCTAGTGGTGATGTTTTGTGGAAGACAAATGAAAGAGAGAAGCAGATTTCGCATTGCAATGTAAACTATATGCAAACTGTACATGACCATTGCAGATAACAATTAGTTGTAAACAAATATTAGAAAACTATGGAATAAAGTTACCGAGAAGGGTGCATCCCAGGAGAACATTCAGTAATGCGTTCCCCATATCCAAAAGTGACCTTAAAAGAAGCAAAAACAATTGGTCAAACCAGTATAATTATGGTGCATGTGATCAAAATCCTAAGGAATCGAGAATGACCTTTACACTTTCGTCACAATAATGTTTCACTCAATTGCCGCCCAACAAATACTTTGAGCACCATGAAAAAACTGTTTAGGTGGCATCCATGTTGTACATTTACTATTTGAACATAAGCTCACCAGTCGCAGGGCATAATAAATATCATTCTTGATCATTATATTTAAAAGAGCAGAGCACGTCTCGCACAATTTCGAAGATATCTGCCGAGTGAAGAAGTGCCTTACTAGGTGGAGTAAATTATATAACTCAATTAGGTGAAGTAACGTAACTAAATGAGTTAATTAGGACACACTCTCAACAGTCAGTGCAAAAAGGACAATAAATAGGCTTAGAGCGCTTTATAGAGCACATTTCAGCATTTCACTGGCTGTCCCATCGAAGTGGTGTACAACATCTTTTTGTGATGCGGTGCTACGTAAATCGGGCAGACGGCACCATATCTTTCAACGTTCGTTGAAGAGAAACCACTAGATCTCTGGAAGGTATGCGTCCACGCATCTCTCATGCTTTGGACATATGTAGTCATGCTCTGGACGATCTAGCTAATGATTACATATCATTTCCGATGGAGGCGGAAATGTTGTAGGCCCGTGTACTCAGATTTGGGTGCACGTTAAAGAATAAAGAACCCCAGGTGGTCGAAATTTCCCAAGCCCTCCACTACGGCGTCTCTCATGATCAAACAGGGCTTTTGGGACGTTAAACCCCACAAAATCAATCAATGATTACATATGAAGCAGCGCACGACGACAGGCAAAAAATGAACGATAGGAACACCGCTGCACTCTCAACTAGTTTATTTCGCAAAAAAAACATGGTTATTAAACAACAACACGGGGTACCACGTGCTACAATGACGTTTAGGCTACAACATATTTTCTAAAAAGCACACTTCGCAATCGCTCAAAGTTATCGATGCTTGGCTAATGCAGTATCTTTTTTCTTTTTGCGATGTGGAAGGTCTTGATCAATTCTCTGGTCACCGTTATCTTTGTGAATGGAAAGTAATTTCAGTCTCAGAGAACAGCGCGGAGCAGCCTACACTTTGAACAAAGTGCCCTATGTGTGAGTAAGCATTATTAGCTAATGCCCTCTTGTGCTCCGTCAACCTTGTATTTATGCACCGGCCAGTTTGGCCGATGTACATCTTCCCGCATGACAAGAGCGAACAGTATACTACCGCAGTTCTGCACTCAAAAAACGAAAAAAAGTGCTTGACAGAGCACCGAAATCTATCCTTTTTGTTGATCGCTTCCTATCCAGCCTGGCGCAGATTTCGCCTAGTTTGTTAGGTGCAGAAAAAAATACCATGTATTCTATATCGGGACTCTTCACTCAATCGTGGAACGGAACGGACGTGTTTTTCTATCGCTCCTCCCAGTCCTTTGACGCTTCCATAGATTTTTGTCCACGGCGCTCTCGTTGAACAGACCTACTTCGGACTTTCCGGTGAGGAATTTCACAGCCAAGACTGTTTAAAGTGTTTCGAAACGTGAAAGTGCTCTTCTCAACAACTTTCTGGTCACCAGGCATGGCCGATGCATCGGCGTCTCCGTGACACCGCACCGACAGCCGCTGCAACTTTCGGCGCTTGGCCGCGTTCGTGCGAACGCCGAGCGCGTTGCAGTGACATTCGGTGTGTGCCTGATCTACACTGTTTAGGCATGGCTTCTCCGGTTTCTACCATTGAATCAGCAGCAATGGCATGCTGCAGACACCAAAGAATATCCAGTGGATCCGGACGATGGTTCTCGGTTCACTGCTACCAGCCGACGCAAACCAAAGACCGCAACGAATTCCGCACCCGAGCCCTTGCCTGCCAAAAAGCAAGAGACCCCACGGCCGCCACCCCTACCTGTGGATGTCACTTCAAGGTGATCTTCCGACCACGAGGAGGCCTTCGCCTCAGTGAATAGGCACATCACGTGTTGGAACGCGCCATCTGCATGACTGCTGAGCTGCTAGGAGAAACAGTCAACAAGCTCCTTTTTCGCATCCAAGCGGAACGCGATATAGTCATCACAAGCACACCAGACGAAACTATTGCTACAAAGTTGCAAGCCGTCACTGCACTAAATCTAGGATCGAAGAGATATAAAATGCAAGCTTATGTAGCCGATCCTGACAATTCTTGTAAGGGAGTCATCATCGGCCCCGAGAAGAATACTTCACCCACCGAACTCCCTGACAACATCTACGCAAGTGACGCCGAAGTCTTGCACGCCTGAATGATGGGATCCACAAACACGGTGTTGATAACTTTTGCAGGCCTTAAAGTTCCACGTTACGTTTACTACTACGGCGCGGAATACCGATGCTACATTCACCGACCTCGCAAACAAGTTTGCACAATCTGCCTTGCACTTGGACATCGGGCAGATGTGTGTCCAACCCCGACAAAACGCCGATGCCAAGCATGTGGAGTTGATACACCAGCGCCGGAGCACGACTGTATAACTCAATGCTTCCACTGCAAGGATGACCACCAGCTACGCACCCCAAATGTCCTGTGAGAGAACAGAAACATCCAAACACGCATTACGTCAAGAAAGCACTGGAGGCGAACGCGTTAGCACTACCACCTACATCACCACCCAAGGGACACCAGCCCAGGTCCAGAACGAGGCACAGCCAATCCAAGAGCAGAGGGAAGTCTCAGGACAGGGCCTTGGAATCCTTAAACAACACGCCAGGAACCGCATCTAAAACCAGTGCCACCACCCTGGGACTGATACCCCAAAAGAACAAAGACCAGAATCGCCACCAGCAAAGAAGCCAGCGCCCGCGGGACAGACACCTCCGGCTATGGTGAGTTGGGCAGCGGGGCCTCCAAGCCTGAAATCTTCTTTACCTAATTCCTCCCATCCGCCCTCATCACACTACTACTCCAACGTACCTCTCACATCTAACGCACATAACTGCACTAAGCAAGAGCTGCAAGATGCCCTCACAAAACTGAGAGACTCGCTTAAGACTGAAGTAACCAGCATGATCACTCAGGCAATTAATGATTTCCGTGCAGAACTTAGGGATATGTTAAAGGTCCTATACCCAAGCACTTGTAACAGAGCTAAAGCAGCACATACAAGAAAGCTTCGCTTCATTTAGTACAGGGCCCCAAGACTCATTGCCACTAGCTACAAACCCCAAAAGTCTGACCAAACGACCCCACCCTTACATCCGTCCATCACTCTTAACTCAGGACACAGTCCAAAAAGAGCGAGATGGGCTCCCCTAGTCCTGCCTTTCACCATGTGGCAGTGGAACTGCCGGGGGTTTCGACGAAAGAGGAGCTCCCTGCAACAGTACACTGCCACTTTTGCGCACCCTCCGGATATTGTGGCTCTGCAGGAGACGCACTTACCCTCTCGGTCTTCCATACATACACAGATCAACAAACACCATCACTTGTCAAGTGTTTTGATACAAGTATTGCGACAACTATAGAACACACACTGACGTCATCCATTCCACATGTGCTTGTTGAAATTATTCCTCAGAAACACAGTCAGCAGAGCTTGTTTATACTAAACATCTACAGCTCCCCTAAATCTAGGAGGGACGACTTCGAGTACCTTGTAGCGGAAACGTGCAAGCTAGGGGAACAAGTTGTAGTGGTTGGTGATTTTAACGCCCCACACACGTCATGGGAATACCTATTCCCATGACGTGTAAAGGTACCACGTGTAAAGGTACCAAATGGGAACGCCTCATCTGCAATCACAGATTTACACTGCTCACAGATCCGCAAGAGCCAACCAGAATTGAAACCAGCGCAGCCAGAGGTACGTGCCCGGACCTAACCTTTGTAAGGGCACTAAGCAATTATAACTGGTCAAATCTGCATAAAACGTTAGGTAGTGATCATTGCATCACTTCCACTACACTGCACATCTCCAAACCCCGTGCTCCAGAGCGGAAGGTCCGTCTCACTAATTGGGATACATTTAGAAAACAACGCGTTCAGACTGACAACAATGGGAGACCTTTAAATGAATGGCTACAGTGCCTGTAAGCTGACCTTGATGAAGCGACCAAGAGGATAAGCACTACAACCGCAATTTCAGATGTCGACCGGCACCTTCTACACTTGTGAGAAGCACGCAGAAGCCTCATAAAACGCTGGCGTAGGCAGAGACACAATCGCAAGCTTAAACTTCGCATTGCTCAACTCACGTTGCAAGCCGAACAATACGCCACAGTGCTCACGAGGAACAGTTGCCACAACTTTTGTAAGTCACTTAATTAAACACTAAGCACTGCGCGCACGTGGGCCATACTAACAGCCCTTGTTGACCCGAAAAGTACCAGGTCCTACATGAGCAGTACCATCCAAACACTTCTTCACAAGCAGGGTGGGGACGACAACAGCACCTTGCAGACGCTTCAAGGAAAGTACATCGCTGCAGGCCCTCAGCCAAAATATAAAAACTACCCATATACAGAGTTAATACCGCTGGATGCTGATATCACTGTGCACGAAGTTCGAGCTGCCCTTCTGAATATCAAGCGCAACACAGCGCCAGGGATAGACACATCCAATACTCTCTCATACGAAACCTCAACGAAGATCTAGAACAGCTCACGGATTTTTACAACACTCACTGGAAATTCGGCACGTTACCCCAGGAATAGAGACATGCCGAAATAACGCTAATTCTTAAGTCCGGTAAACCCCTAGAGCTTGGAAACCTGTGACCAATCTCGTTGACGTCTTGCCACGGTAAATTAATGGAGCATGTCGTCCTCCAAAGACTGCAACCATATCTTGAGGCCCAGGGATTTTTTTCCGGGCACACTGTTTGGGAACGGGCCCATCTTTCAACGCAAGACGTACTTTTCTAACTGAAAGAGGAAGTAATGGACAGGCTCAGTTCTACGCAAACTAGAGCTCTGCTTGCCTTGGACATACGCGGT